ACAACAACAAGAACATTAACAAGTAGAATAATTTTTGTGTTTTTTTAACAAACAAATAAAATAAGATGACTGCTCCCACCGGGGCGGGGCACTCGTGCCTACCGTGCCATAGCCGGATCTCGCTCCACCATCTCCCCGGGGGGGATGGAGGCTGGCTCGTTGCTCTCGGACGCACGGAAAGCAGAGGTCGCAACCGGGTACCCGATACCCGTACCCTACCCGATACCCGGCTACCCGTACCCGGCTGGGTACGGGTAGCCGTTTGCGACCCTGGTGCGGCCGGGTACGGGTAGGCCGTGAGTCACTGGTGAGTAACCATTTGTCACTCATTTCGGGTCGGGTACAGGTACGGGTAGGGAACGGGTACCCATTTGCGACCCTGGTGCGGCCGGGTACGGGTACGGGTAAGGAATCAAAACCCGTTTGCGACCTCTGACGGAAAGTGCCGGGCGGCGTGGCTCAGCAGCGGGTAGAACAGAGATGGGGCGGGGGGGGGGGGAGGTCGTCTTCATATCGATGCTCCCCTCTGCTGCACCTCCATGGTCTGGAGCTCCCGTTGCTTCCCCCACCCCTCTCCTTTGTTTTCCCCGCTTCCGCCTGGGACCGACCCTGCCTATATGGCTCTATAAATTATACTGCACGCACGCACGAATGGACAGACGCGGAGAGAGTCCAGGCCGACAGGGTGGACGGGGGGTGGGCTGGCGAAAGGAAAGACCGTGCATGATGGGAAAGACGGACTACTGGTGATTGGACAGGCTGGAATTGATGGACAGGCCGATTGGTGGGGGAGGAGGAGCGGGGGGGGGGCGGCGATGACGACTACCCACAATAACACATGATGACGACTACCCACACCCGACACACGGTGGCTTTTTGGAAGAGCAACAGCAGATGCAAGCAAAACAACAACAACAACAGCAGAAGCTCTATGGGGACCTCATTTGCCAGTAAAAATATGATAATTGGTTCTTTACCCTTCTATCTGGCAACAAAACTGACACCTTTTTACAAGGAGTCATGTTTGCATAGACCGCAATACCTGCAGTCATAAATACAAACAAAAGACATAACTCTGATAATGTGCACTGTCCCTGAAGTTGATTGGTCCACACCCGAGACAGCTTTCCTTCGAGCCTAGTCTCACATGGGTTGGACCAGAAGACGCCAAAAGGCGCACAACTCAAAGACAATGCACCATCAGAGTATGAGAGCTCGGGGCAAGCATCTACACTATGGGGACCTCATTTGCCAGTAAAAATATGATAATTGGTTCTTTACCCTTCTATCTGGCAACAAAACTGACACCTTTTTACAAGGAGTCATGTTTGCATAGACCGCAATACCTGCAGTCATAAATACAAACAAAAGACATAACTCTTTAAGGAAAGCTGTCTCGGGTGTGGACCAATCAACTTCAGGGACAGTGCACATTATCAGAGTTATGTCTTTTGTTTGTATTTATGACTGCAGGTATTGCGGTCTATGCAAACATGACTCCTTGTAAAAAGGTGTCAGTTTTGTTGCCAGATAGAAGGGTAAAGAACCAATTATAACAGCAGAAGCTGTTTTTGTTTTTTAGCCTGGAATGAGCACGGCCAAGTCACCATTGGAACCTCCTTTGCCAGTAGCAAAATATGATAATTGGTTTTTTACCCTTTTATCTGGCAACAAAACTGACACCTTTTTTTATTTATTCCAATGGTGTAAATGCTTACCCCGAGCTCTCATACTCTGATGGTGCATTGTCTTGGAGCTGTGCGCCTTTTGGCGTCATCTGGTCCAACACCATGTGAGACTAGGCTCTAAGGAAAGCTGTCTCGGGTGTGGACCAATCAACTTCAAAGACGGCGCACACATTATCAGAGTTGTGTTTTTTGTTTGCATTCCGACCGCAGGTATTGTGGTCAATGCAAACATGACTGCTTGTAAAAAAAAAGTGTCAGTTTTGTTGCCAGATAAAAGGCTAAAAAACCAATTATCACATGGCAGGTCGTAAGCGAGCAAATCCATGTCACCTGGGTCACAACGCTCATTTGCCTGGCTCAGGCTGAGTGGGGGGGGAGGATGGGCAGCAGCCCCTGGTTCGAAATGCGCCGTGACCCCGAGAACTCGCGGGTGAAACGGACAGCTGGAGATGCCGAGGGACAGAGAAACGCTGACGGGGACGCGGTGAGACACAAAGACACAGGGGGACCTGATGAGACAGACAGCCAGGGATGTGATGAGACGGGACGGGACGACGCCTGTCCCGAAGACGGGACAGAGGGAGCGAGAGTTAAATCAAGGACATGGTGGCCACTATGGGACGGACCGAGGACATTAAGAGACAAACAAACATCCGCAACACGGGACCCCAATACCTCCGGGCCCAGCGGCCCCTGTCGCCGCTATCACCGGCCACCGGTTTGCCTAACGAATACAGCGTCGTAAGGTCACCCTCATTACACACTCAACACACACACAGAAAGTTGCTCGCCACAAATGAACTGCAATGATCTCCGCTGGTCTCGTCAAGAAGCTATCAACCAGTAGTAATAGGTTTCTACCCTTTCAACTGGTACAAAAACTGACACCTTTATACAAGGCGTCATGTTTGCAATAACCACAATACCTGCGGTCGGAATGCAAACAAAAAACACAACTCTGATAATGATATGCACCGTCCTTGAAGTTGATTGGTCCACACCATTGGTGTTGGACCACATGACGCCAGTTTTCGTACCAGTTGAAAGGGTAAAAACCTATTACTATATTTTGCCACTGGTAAAGGAGGTCTCCTAGTGAGCTATAAACCATCGTCGCGCGAACTTCCCCGCTCATATTCTTAGGTTTTTTCGGTAAAGTCACGTAGGTAAAAAAATAAAAGTAATAAAAGTAAAATAAAAAATCACGACGTTTCGGAGGCAACACAAGCTTCCGTCTTCATCCTCGCAGCAGCAGCATCAGCAGCAGCAGCATCAGCATCAGCAGTAGCAGCAGCAGCAGCATTTGGCTGGGCCTTCGAACAAAGACGGCGGCCGCCGCACCGCGCGGTACTTTCAGATGGCGCTTCCGTGCCGCGGCCGTCTGGAACGCTCTTCCCTCCCGATATTAGGAAGCCACTGGAGCCGTGCACTTTGAAATCATCATCATCATCATCGAGATTGACAAACTCACGTCTGTCGAGCTGCTTGTCGGTGCGTTCAGTTTGTTTGCCGTCCTTCTCAAAGCACCTCCGACGACGACCGCCGGTTGGCTACGTAAAAGAATCTTCTTAGTTTTTTCGGTAAAGGCACGTAGGTAAAAAATTACAATTAATAAAAGTAAAATAAAAAAAACAAAAAAAATCACGACGTTTCGGAGGCAACACAAGACTCCGTCTTCAGGTGGAACGGTCACAGCACGATTGCTGCATCAAGTAAATGAGAAATTCCAAGAAAACCGCCTTTGTGCATATGTATACTGGTTGAGGGTGGGAGGAGCCATATATACAAGGTCGGGTCTCTTGGAATCTCTCATTTACTTGTGTTGCCTCCGAAACGTCGTGATTTTTATTTTATTTTTATTTTACTTTTATTAATTTTCATTACATTTTTTACCTACGTGACTTTACCGAAAAAACCTAAGGATACGAATCCTTGCAGTCACAAAAGCTTCAAATCTAGAATCACGTAAAAGAATCTCGCTCGCCCGCACGAGCACCACGCGCCAAGTCCGTGCCCGCCACGCGGCCGCATCGACCGGGGGGCCCCGCCTCATCCACCGCTTACCTCTGACCGCGACCTGCGGTGGCGGCGGTGGCGGCGGCGCCGTGCGGCTACTGAGGTCCACCACGGACGGGGAGCGAACCGGCGGCTCCAGCTGCACGGACACCGGGCGGACACCACCGATCCTCGATCCTGAAATCTGCCAGTGGAGACCGCGGGGAGGGGGGGGGGAGGAGGTTAGGGAGATGCCCCAGCGAGGGTTACGAGAGGCCGCCAACAACACCGGCGGCCGACAATCGACGCCAAGTGGCGGTGACATCGGAGCCTGTGCCAGGCTAGGTGCACTTTATTTAGAAACTGGAGGAAAGCGATGAGCTATGCCCAGCAGTTTCACAGATTGTCCAGGCTGGAGCGAGAAGCGTCGAAGGCTCTTTGAGGCTGTTGAGAGCAGGGGGAGGGTCACGGGACAGACCCAGCAGGTGCCGTGGGTTTGACCGACTGAGATGACCACCTGGTGCCTCCCCCCACGGTGCCAACTCGCTGCGTTTTCACCGCCCGGCGCCCCGCTCGTTGTTGCGAGCGTCGCTCCTCTGTTGCTGCTAGGAGGGCGACTGCCTCCGACTGCCCAGTAGCGTCCTTCACAAGCCTCCTCCTGGCTCCACAGAGGCCGATTTTGACACCGCTGGTACCGGTTCGTCGGCAAGTCCGCTCGCCTCCACATTCCTCCTGTACCCTTTAACGGACTCTTCGGGGCAAGTGACATTCGCGAGCACCTATTGTTGAATCTCAAGCAGCCAGACCATGGCAACCAAGGCAACTGTAGGGAGTCATTATAAATTGCCCGAAGCTTGAAGACAGACCGAGAGGTACCATTTGGGTCGAGGCAACGTTAGGACTCCCTGAGTGTTCAATGTTTTTGTCTTTCAGGCTCACAAAGGTCTAGAGGGCCAGCGAGTCGGGGCACACGGACCCTTCAACAGAGAGGAGAATCGAAAGAAACAAGTTTGCCTTTGACCAAAAACAGCCGCGTTTCGCGCAGGGACATTCGTACGCACGAACACAGCGGCAGGCGCGTGCGACGCGACAGGCGACAACAACAACAACAACACATTCCGAATTAAACAAACTAAATAGGCGATGGAATACATTTCGTTTCGTTATTCTTGGGACGACAGTCACATTTTGTCTATCACCAAAGACATTTCCAGAGCGTGACCAGCCACCCTCCCACCCCAATTACGCACGCACGCACGCACGTACATACGCACGTACCTACGCACGCACGCACGCACGTACCTACGCACACACGCACCTACGCACGCACGCACGTACATACGCACGTACCTACGCACGCACGCACGCACGTACCTACGCACACACGCACCTACGCACGCACGCACGTACATACGCACGTACCTACGCACGCACGCACGCACGTACATACGCACGTACCTACGCACGCACGCACGCACGTACCTACGCACACACGCACCTACGCACGCACGCACGTACATACGCACGTACCTACGCACGCACGCACGTACCTACGCACACACGCACCTACGCACGCACGCACGTACATACGCACGTACCTACGCACGCACGCACCTACGCACACACGCACCTACGCACGCACGCACGTACATACGCACGTACCTACGCACGCACGCACGCACGCACGTACCTACGCACACACGCACCTACGCACGCACGCACGTACATACGCACGTACCTACGCACGCACGCACGCACGCACGTACCTACGCACACACGCACGTACCTACGCACACACGCACCTACGCACGCACGCACGTACATACGCACGTACCTACGCACGCACGCACGCACCTACGCACACACGCACCTACGCACGCACGCACGTACATACGCACGTACCTACGCACGCACGCACGTACCTACGCACACACGCACCTACGCACGCACGTACATACGCACGCACCTACGCACGCACGCACGTACCTACGCACGCACGCACGCACGTACCTACGCACACACGCACCTACGCACGCACGCACGCACGTACCTACGCACGCACGCACGCACGCACGTACCTACGCACGCACGTACCTACGCACACACGTACCTACGCACGCACGCACCTACGCACGCACGCACGTACATACGCACGTACCTACGCACGCACGCACCTACGCACACACGCACCTACGCACGCACGCACGTACATACGCACGTACCTACGCACGCACGCACGCACGTACCTACGCACACACGCACCTACGCACGCACGCACGTACATACGCACGTACCTACGCACGCACGCACGCACGTACCTACGCACACACGCACCTACGCACGCACGCACGTACATACGCACGTACCTACGCACGCACGCACGCACGCACGCACGTACCTACGCACACACGCACCTACGCACGCACGCACGTACATACGCACGTACCTACGCACGCACGTACCTACGCACGCACGCACGTACATACGCACACACGTACATACGCACGTACCTACGCACGCACGCACGCACGCACGCACCTACGCACACACGCACGCACGCACGTACATACGCACGCACCTACGCACGCATGCACGCACGCACGTACCTACGCACACACGCACCTACGCACGCACGCACGTACATACGCACGCACCTACGCACGCACGCGCGTACGCACGTACGTACATACGCACGCGCGTACGCACGTACGTACATACGCACGCGCGTACGTACATACGTACATATGGACGAACGGTTGAACTTCTTTCGCACCGTGCGCAGCAAACCGTGCCAGTCGTAGGTGCAGGCCAATCGGAGGTAAAACAAAACAAAAAGCAAAAAACGTTCAGTTTTATAGCTGGTGAAAAACACGGGCGCCCACCTCCGTGTGCATTCCGGCGGGCGCCACCACTGTGGCGTTGGCGGAGGAGGGCAGGCCTGCTCCTCCTCCTCCTCCACCACCTCCCCCACCACCACCGCCTCCTCCACCACCGCCTCCTCCACCACCGCCTCCTCCACCACCGCCTCCTCCACCACCGCCTCCTCCACCACCGCCTCCTCCACCACCGCCTCCTCCACCACCGCCTCCTCCACCACCGCCTCCTCCACCACCGCCTCCTCCACCACCGCCTCCTCCACCACCGCCTCCTCCACCACCGCCTCCTCCACCACCGCCTCCTCCACCACCGCCTCCTCCACCACCGCCTCCGACCGGCAGGAGCATGGTCACGGTGCCGGGCTGCGTCGCCGATGGCGGAATGGTCGATGGCAGCGTCTGCGGGATGGACGACGACGATGACGACGACGACGATGTCGACGATGGCGGCAGCGACGACTGAGTTGTCGCCGCCTGCTGCTGCTGCTGCTGCTGCTGCTGCTGCGGCGGTACGAGGGCGGCCGGGGTGGCGGCAGACGAGCCGCCCGGAGCGGGCGGGATGCCGTTCTCGGACAGGAACTCGTCCAGGTCCATGTACTCGAGCTGGAAGTTGTCCATGTAGGGCAGCGTCTTGTCCCAAAGCGTGGGGCCCAGGAAGGCCGAGGCCATCATGTTGCTGCCCGTCGCCTCGTCCTCAATGCCTTTCTCCTTGTCCTTGCCTGAGCGCAGCAACACACCGGCAAAGGTTCAAGGTTGTCTCCGACACCACAGTGGAAAAACATCGTGATAAAGAATACGTGCGAATTTCGATGCACAGAACCAGAATGTGTCATTGTACCCGGGGAAAGCCGATGAGATGCAAAGCTCTTCTTAACAGATGCCCATCGCTGCCCAATCTCCGAAAACCAGGACAGAGCCTCCCAAGCAAAACATCTTGGAAC